CCACCACACCCAGTCTCACAATGTACTTTAGAAACCACAAGTTCTGAAGAGTCTTAGGGCAAGAACTGCATTCACTCTGATTAACTGAGAATTTTCCAAATTTATATGGGCAAGAAACAATTTTTTTTAACTATTTATACCCCCCCCCTCCTAACACACCTATTAGAATTCTGAGGAACACTATTTTGTGATAGGAGTCTGGGAGATTTTTTTATTGTAGCAAAATGGCTGAAATAAAAACAGACCTCAGCAAAAAGAACTGAACTACTGATAGGTGAAACTACCTAGATGAAGCTCTGGAGTTACGTTGAGTGAAAACAGCCAGGGTCACAAAAGTTACACCCTGACTCCATTTAACACGTTTAAAATCAAAAAATTAGAAATGGAGACCAGGTCATCAGATGGTGGATGACAAAGCTTCAAAGTGCAACAGGGATCCACACGGTATTGGAAATGTGCTGCATCTTGGCCTGCAGCAGACACAGGGTCTTCCAGGGCAACACAACTGCACAGAACACACAAGGCTGAGGAGCAGAACCAGAGAAACCCGAGTGCATGGGGAAAGGCAGCAGTGTCGATGTCCTTGTAATGTCCCTGCACTACGTGGTGCTGCTGGAGTTCAGCACTGGGAAACTGAGCAAAGATAAGGAGACGTCTGTATGTGACTTCTTATATTTGAATGTGTGTAATTATTACACTATTTTTATAAATTTCAATCAAAACAAGGACAGCCAGGCGTGGCACACACCTGTAATCCAGCGCTCAGGAGGCTGAGAAAGGAGGATCACTTCAAGTTCGGGGCCAGCCTGGTACATAGTGAGTTCGAGGCCAGGCTGAACTGCATGGTGAGACCCTGTCTCATAAAAATCAGCAAATAAACAAAGGAATCAAAGCAGTCTGATCATGGGGTCACTGTACTCCTCCGTGGCCTAGTCCGCTGCTAAATTCACAGCGGATCGTGCTGCCTGGGTGGGCTGGGCTGGAGCGGTGGTCCCTGGGGCGTGGCTCTTCCCTGCACTGCATCCCCGCCATGACCTGAGTGGCTCTGCTCCACCACACCCTTCTACCAAGATATTCCCGCCTCACAGGCAGCTGACCATGGACTAAAACCCTGGAAACTGAGTCGGAAATAAGGCCCTCCTCCTTCAGGCTGCAGATGTCAGCACCGTGTCCCAGGAGGCTAACTTGCACTGCTCTATATTCTGGTGCCGTGTCTGCCTCCATCACTGCAGTGCTCAAGTGCAGCTTGCCAGTGCCTCTTCTAGCCACATCTCTGTCCCATCAGGTACTTCCAGCCTTCCTGTGTCCCACTTCCCTATTAAGCCACTTCCTACTGGTGTACAGCATACAGTCAAAACCCAAGAACACTATTTCATTCAAAGCTTTCTCAAGCCACACTTACTTTTAGCTGATGGGTGGTTTTGGGGTTTGCTGGAAGTGCTTGAATCTCTTTTTCTTTCAGTTCTTTGTTCACATGTTGTACAAATGGATCTAATTAAAAAATAAAGAGATTGGCACACTTCAGTCTAGTGGCAGGGTTCTCTGGTCTTCCCCAGGATGGCATGCCTATCTTCATGGTATCAACTCATTGGACTTTCCATCCGCTTTCCCCATCCACACCTTAAAATTTCAGGAAGGTTCATTTTCCCAAAACAGTTGTCTAAATATTACTTCAGACTCAAAAACCTTTGGAGAAACGTCTCAGCTTCAGGCACTCTAGACTGCACCTTCTCTGCAGTGTAACCTCTGCACTATCAACCCTCAAATCCTCTTCCCTCTATGTCTCCCCCTCCTCTGACCAAAACCTCCAGCCTCTCTTTCACCTCATTTTGCACATCTAAGTATTATCAGTGTAACGTCACCCCAACTCACGGCAGATACCCCACTGGTCAGGCGGTGCTGGCTCCCGTAAGAGGCTTCTTGAGTCCCCCCCACCTGGCTCACCTACCCTCCCAACACGCCTACACACAAGTATCAGCTCATCTAGTACACAGCAAGTTCCCCAGGGCAGGGTCCATGTCCCACTGATCTTGCATTAGAAGGTATCATGGCTGAGATCTAAACTGTTCCCCGACTCTGCTGTGCTCCGAGGCAGGGCTTCTGGGAGGTGGCTGGACCCTGGGGACCTCCTCCAAGATAAGCAGCTGAGTGTGCTGGTCGGGGGGAGTCTGGTTAGAGGTGGGGCGTGTGTGCCCTGGAGTGTGCGCCACCTCTCCCACCACATCAGTGGGGCGTGCGCGCACCTCTCCCTCCCTGGCTCCTCCTTTCCCCGCAAGGCTTCCCAAAGCAGCGTTCCTGGCCAGGCCCTCCCACCATGCTGTTTCTACATCTGCACGCACCAACCATGGACTAAGACTTCCAAAGCTGTGAGCGAAAGCAAGCCTCTTCTTCATGAAGGCAGTGTTGGACATTTTGTTCCAGCAATAGAAAAGTGACGAAGACGAAAGACACACTGAGCTAGAGATGGTGGTGTAATCCCAGCACTTGGGAGGCTGAGGCAGGGGGTCACTGTGAGCTCAAGGTCAGTCTGGGCTACATAATGAATTTAAGGCCAGCCCAAACTACACAGAAAGACCCTATCTGAAAAAAAAACAAAAAAAGAGACAGAAATTCTCATTATTAGGCCGGGCTGGCATGGTGGCACACATCTGTAATCCCAGCACCTAGGAGCCCAAGGCAAGAGGATTGCTGCAAGTTCAAGGGCAGCTTGGGCTATAAAGTAAGTTCAAGGCCAGCCTGAACTACACAGTGAAACCTTGTCTCAAAAGGACAAAAAAAAATTAAAAAAAAGAAAGAAAAGAAAAGAAAACTTCTTGACAGTGCACTGAATTTGCACAAGCTCCAGATGACAGCACCAGTGCGCTGTGCCTGTGCTGGCCACCAGCCATCCCTCCCAGGCTCGCTCATTAAGAAACAGCGAGGTCAGATGACTCGTTCAAGGATGCAAAAGGCAAAACTTGAAACGAAATGCACCCTGTGCTAAATAATCAAGAGCAAACAACACAATAAAACTTCCAAGGGCCTTCTTTCTATATAGGCAAAATATCCACATTTCTGGACAGTCCACTTCCTGATGTCTGCTCCAGGGTTTCCAAGTCTTGATGATCTTTGTGCTACAATTCTACAAACCCTGCCCACTCCTCCTTTCCTTGCGTAATAGCCAACCGAAGTGAAGGACCCAAACGAGTGGTGTAACTTCAGCGGCCTTAACAGCACAGCTGAACTGAGAAAGGCCACCGGAAGCAGGAAAGCAACAGGATGGAGAACAAGCTTCGTCTGACTCACACCCCCAGACACAGGCTGAGAACCGCCCGGAGCTGGCACAGCATCCGGAGGCCTTGTGCGACTGCCTGCCACTCCGACCCTCGCCCAGTGAACAGACCATGGGAGGCACGGGAGACAGGGAGGTATTCTGGCTTCTGAAACTGCCCCTTGTGGTGAGGACCACTTAGACTGCACTCTCCTGGGTATCATAAACCTGAGGATTAGTGCTCTAACAAGGAAGAACACGTAAGGCATAGAATGAAGATGGGAAGTATTTTCCCCTTTTCCTTTCTGTTCTGCTTGGGGAGAAAATCTGAAATTTGCCCTGGGCCCTGATTCTAGTAATGTGAGGCCTGGGGAGCTTGCCTCCCAACTACTTTTCTTAAACAGGTTATTCTCTCACATATCCCCTCCCCAGCCCTCACTGTAATGAAGGACACAAATCTCCTGCAGAAGTACTTTTCCCACCTCTAGATCCAGCCACTAAACTACTGTCCTCACTGCTGCTTATTCAACAGCAGGAGACTAAATGTGCATCAGTGTGCAACCCCTAGAGGCACCTGGCAGATTCAAGCAGCACCTTGTGAGACCTTTAAACAGGAGCCATCTCCAGCTTCCTCCTCAAGAAAATTGGTCTCCAGGCTGAAGAGTGACTCATGCTGTGCGTCCGTAAACTCGGTCGGCGGTTTCTGCGACGAGCCAGCAGGCTGCTCTTCTCCGCCACTTCCCTCAGGGTCACCAGGTATGGCCACATCTATAGTTTGGGCAAACATCTTGTAAAAGTATTTACTCATAAATAAATTTTCTACTGATACAGCCAAATACTTCAGCTTATGCCAAAACTGACGTTCAGGGCTATCATTTACTTTTACATAATAAACAATCTAGGTGGAAGACACAGATTTCAACATTAAGCTTGATCACTCCAATTGCTGACCCAGTGTGGGTGCTCATTTGGTCACCCTAGCTGGGCCACAGGGCCTGGACATTTGATCAAACATTTGAAATATTTCTATAGCGGTGGTTTTTTGTTTTGTTTTGTTTTTGTGGTGCTGGGATCAACCCAGGACCTCACACGGGGGCCAAATGCTCTACCACTAGCTACATCCCACTCCTTTTTACTTTGAGACAGGGTCTCACTAAGCTGCTAAATTATTCACGCTGGGCTAGAACTTATGATCCTCTTGCCTCAGCCTCTTGAGTAGCTGGGACTACAGGGATGTACCACCACCAGACTTGTGAGTGTGTTTTTAGGTAAGATTTACATTTAAATTGTAGACTCTGTAAAGCAGATTCTTCTCCTTAATGTGGCTGAAGGCTGACCTCCCTTAGCACAAGGGAGCCCTCCCAGCACGGTGCTGCTGAGCTCCGGCTGCAGCACAAGCTCCTCCTGAGACTTTGCCTGTGTTGGGACCTAAGTCTACAGCCTGCCTGCCTCTCTATCACTTCTCAACTTTCCAGGCCTCCATAATCACATGAGCCAACTGCTTTAACACATTTCTTCTCATATATACACATCTGATTAGTTCTGTTTCTCTGGAGAACACTAATACACCCAGTTCCAAGTCTAGGAACTTACTCTAATGTGATACATCAAAGTGTCCACAAGAAGATGTCTGCAGCAGCACTGATTATAAGAAATAAATGGAGAAAAAAATGAGCCAGGGTGATAGTGCAGGCCTGCAATCCCAGCGTTTGGAGGAGACTGAAGCAGGAGGATGCTGCAAGGCCCACCTGAACTATTTAGTGAGTTCAAGACTAGCCTGAACTATAACACAAGACCTTGTCTCAAAGAAAAAACTGAGATGCCTATCAATGGGATATTAAATAAATAACCACATATCACTTACAAGTGAATGCAACATAGTTGAGAAGCTAATGTAAGAAAGGTGTAGCGACACATACCTATAATCCCATACTTTGGAGGCTGAAGCAACAGGATTATCATGAGTTTAAGGCCAGCCTGGGCTATATAGTGATTTAGGCCAGCCTGAACTACATAGCAAGACTCTGCCTCAAAAAAACAAACAACAAAAACAAAACAAAACAGCTCCCTCAACAGACCTAATGTGATTACACAGCTATATTACAGACAGAGAAAAAGGCCCATGGCATATGACTAAAGAAAGAAGCAGCCAGGTATGGTGGCACATGCCTGTAGCCCCACCTCTGAGGTTGAGGTCAGAGGAACACCAAGAGTTCAAGGCTGGCCTGGATTATAAAGTGAACTCAAGGTCAGGACAGCTTGAACTGCATAGAGATCCTGTCTCAAATAAATGAGTAAATAAATAAATAAGTAAATAAACAAAATAGTTATAGAAATGTATGACCATTATACACATATGCACAACACATATCCATAAAAACACAGGTTGGAAAAGTTATGGATACAATGTCAAAAATGTTGATAAGTTTCTGAGTGGTGGAGATACATGTTGACCACAACACTCTTTAAATTTCTGCTGTAAATATGTATTGCTTTTATAATCAAAAAATGTTTCCATTTAAAATACAAAAAAGCAATGAAAACCAACTGAAACCAACAAACAAATCCTAAATCTGAGCCAATGAAAGTGATCAATTAAAATACTAACCATGGCATTTGATAAATTACAGGAAAAAAAAGGAGGCTGTAAGGAAAACAGGCACAAAAACAGTAAAATGTAAAGTTACCCAGGTATATTGAGACAGTAGACTACTACCCAACAATAAAAAGGATGGAGGCCGGGCGTGGTGGCGCATGTCTACAATCCCAGCACTTGAGAGGCTGAGGCAGGAGGATCGTTGGGAGTTCCAGACCAGCCTGGGCTACAAAGTGAGCTCCAGGCCAGCCTGAACTGCATAGCGAGACCCTGTCTCAAAAAGACAGAAAAAAATGGATGGAACTACTAAGACATAGGCATGGGCGAATCACAGTAACTCAAGAACGTAAGATGGACCCAGGAAGGTTCGTATGCTGTGACTCCATTTGTAGGAATTTCTAGAATAGGTAAATCTATACTGACAGAATTCAGGTCAGCGGTAGCCTGAGGTCAAGGATGGGGACCTGATAGCTTCAACATCTTATCTCTAACTATTCCACGCAAATGCATTTTTATGTCTACACCCATCAAACCTGGTCTCCCTAAGGAAGGAGTAGAACCTTTCCAATAAAGCAACATGCTACAATGCCAGGGCTATGTTCTTCCTGTGTCAGGGAGTCTTTCATCAGGATGGATGAAGTCCTGAAGCAGTTAGCAAAAATGGTATTTCTTAATTTTTCTGGTGAGAGGGTCCTGTGTTTTCCTTGAGTCCCAACATATACTCAAGTCCCATGTAAGTTAAATCCCTGCTTTGGATCCACGTGCTCACACCGAATCACACAACACAGGGGCTGTGTGAACCCCAAGATACTTACTCTCCTTCATCTCCGCCGACTCTGCTGCTGTCTCTTCCTCCACAAAGGAGTCGCTACTCACATCTTCTTTATTCATTTCTGCATCATGAACACTACCTTCTTCCTCCTCCTCCTCCTCTTCCTCCTCCTCTTCCTCAGAAGCATTCTTTAATGTAGCAAGTAGTTTGTGGTACCCAGAAACTTGCTCTGGTTCACTCTCTGATTCACTTTCAGAATTTGAAGTATCTGAACTTTCTGACTAAAAGGAAAATTTTTAAACAAAAATTCTTATCTTTCTCATTATCACCCTAGTACTTATCATAAGGCTAAGAGGTTCCGACTTTACTAAATAAAACTTAGCTTCCCACAAATATACAAGCTTACCTATTATTTATTTGTTTGTCTTTTTGAGACAGGGTATCGCTATGCAGCCCTGGCTGGCCTCAAACTCACAACGATCCTCCTGCCTCAGCCTCCCAGGTGCTGGGATCACAGACATGTGCTGCCACGCCGGGCAAGCTTATCTGCTTAATCAAGTCTGGCACCAAATTTACTCAGAATGGCTAATCTAGTCATGATTGTAGAAGCTCTTATATTCTCTGAACCACTAATGGAAAGAAAAGTTTTAAAAGACTTGTAAAATACAAAACTTTAGGTTAGAAGGAAATTTAACTTATGTCCCAGACATTAGGTTACCTGTTTAAAGGAGCAACAGGAAAATCACAAAACCACAACAAAAAATGTACTTTCTTTAGATTTGTTGTATGGTGATAGGACCTTTGTTCATTCAGCATCATACTTGTGACCCTTTTTATGGTAAGCAAAAAACTCCTTAGAGTTACCTGATGGTCCTCTGGTAAGTCTTTCTAACAAGACCTAAAAGGCTAGACTCTTGGGACAGTTTTCAACTCTGGCTTCTGTATTACTTATTACAATGGCATTTTTATAGACATATCCCCTAAAAACTAAGCAACATTACTGATGTAATAGCTTGCATATAAAATTGGAAAGAGTAGAAGTGTAGTCAACCTTCATTATACCACACATAATCTTAAAGGTAACAGCCCAGACCGAACTATTACAAAGAAAGTATAAAGCATTACCAGTTGGCAAATCTGCGGTTTTGCTTCCTTTCCAGAAACCCTGAGAAGAAAGAGGTAACATTAAATTCTAACTACTAATTTGTACCAATTAGGGAAAGGTCTAATGACACAATTTGAAAGGAAAAGGGCCGTATATACCACTGTAAGTATACGGTAACCACAGTTATGTAAAAGCTACCTATGCACTTGGAGGTTGCAAAGTATGACAAACGGACAATAGGCAAATGGGAAATGTAACGATGTGACATGAGAAACGCGGTACCTAGTAACTGGCGCTCATGGGAAAGAACACAACACGGCAAATAAAGGACTGAAGTTTTTACCGACCTGCTTGATTAGAACGTCTATATGCAGACAAACAGCCCAAAGTGGTAAATGAGCATTAAATCATAACAGCTAGGCGTGGTGCCGCACACATTGTAATACAGCACTTTGGGAGGCTGAGGCAGAAGAATCCCAAGTTAGAACCCAGCCTGGGCAACTCAGACACTCAGCGAGATCCTGTCCCCAAAATTAAACAAAGTAAAAATAATTAAAAAAAAAAAAGGCTGCGGATGCAGTGCAGTGTGAAGGCCCTGGATTCGATCCCCAGTACCTTCCCCGAATCGTAACTGATCCCCGACATTGCCTGGGGTCCCTACAATTGCCAGGACGTCTGCTTCACTGCTGAAACTGGATCCAAGAGAGATGTCGAAGCTCTCAACCAATTATTTGAAAACACGAAAACCTGAGACAACCTGAGGTGCTCTCCGATCAAACACAAACTTGCCCCGCGCCAGCGTCCAGCCCGAGGCTTCGGCCGCTTCCCGCGGACGCCGCCGACTCGGAGCCGGCACCGCGCCGACCTCCCCGCACCTGTCGTGGAAAGGGTGCTCCTCCCCGAAGTCCCGGAGATGCTTCTTCTGCTTTTTCGTCAGAGTACTGAGCAGCTGGCTCCGGCCCGCGCGCTTGCCCATGGCAACTGCCGCCGAGCTCGCCCGGCAGCGGCTCCCGGAAGTGGTTCTGTCAACAAGCGCACGTCGGCGCCACGGCGGCGCTTTACGGCGGGGCGCGATGCCGAAAAGCACACTCGCCGTACCTCGCCGCGTACGACCGCCTACGTGCTGTTTGGGCGCGCTGACCCGAGGCTTCGCTGCGCGGCGAACTGGGAGTTGCTGGTATTTTAGTTCGTATATGGCTGGGCCTGCGTAAATGTGTAGTGGCACAAATGTGTGGATGCAGTGACTTTATATTACACCGTCCATGAATGTTTTCATTCTTACATATATTGGTACAGCTTATTTTTTATTTTTCACTTGTTTTTTTCCTAATTGGTACACTTTAGACATACATAATGGTAACATTCATCATAGGGAATTTCTACCTGACCGTGATATATTTTGCTTCCTCTTTTTTCCGATTCCAGTCCCTTCAATCCCTCCTCTTCCTTATTTACAAAAGCTTTGTTTCCATTCTTTTCTTTCTATACTTTTTTTCCATCTCCCATCCTTCCTCCCGCCCCTTCCACTGTCCCATTTGAACATTTTCTTCCCACTTCCCCATATCTGTTAGTCATTTAGGTGCTGTTTACATTTTCACTTTCTTGCACCAGAGAAACAACTCGTTGTTTAACATGTGTATCCTATTTATTTCAGTTAAAAGAGTATGGTCTCAAGGTGCATCCATTTAGCTGTAAATGTCTCAAGCTTATCTTCACAGCAGAGTAGTACTCCATTGTATGTATATATAAAAAAAAAACCCTACATCTACTTTATGCAGTAATTGGTTGATGGACATTTGGGCTGTTTCCGAGACTTAGTTATTACAAACTATGACGCTATAAACATGGGTGTGCGTACATCACTGCGGTATGATGTTGAGCATTTTTAAATATATTTATTTGCCATTTCTGCTTCTTGATTTGAGGAGTGCCTACTCATTTCAGATGACTTTCTGGATTGGTTCTTTAAATTTGGGGGTTCTGATTGTTTTTTAGTTCTTTATACATTCTAGATATTAGTCCTTTGTCCGAGGAACAGGCAGCAAAATTTTTCCCACTCTGTGGGTTGTCCCTTCACTCTGTTGGTTTCTCTTGCTGTGCAAAAGCTTTTTAATAAGATAAGGTCACATTTGTTGATTCTTCGTACTTCTTGTGTGATTGGGGTTTTATTCATAAAGTCTTTGCCTACACCAGTGTCTTCAAGAGTTCTACCTATTCTATCTTCCAGCAGGTTTAGTGTTTCAGGTTTAGTGTTTCAGGTTTAGTGTTTTAGTGCTTTAATGTTTAAATCGTCAATCCATTTTGATTTCAGTTTAGCGCGTGGTGAAAGGTACGGGTCTATTTTGATCTTCAGCCTGTGGAAAGCCAGTTTTTCCAGCACCATTTATTAAAGAGGTGATCTTTTCTCCAGTGAAGGCGCGTGGCCCCTTGCGAAAGATAAGGCGGCTGAGTGTGTCTGGAGGTGTGTCTGCGTCTTCTCATCTGCTCCAGTGTTCCTCAGGCCTGTTTTTCTGACAGTCCCATGCTATCTTTATTGTGACAGCTCTGCAGTATAATTTCGAGTCAAGGACTGTGATGACTCTGAGTCGCCTTTGTTGCCTAGAATTGCTTTTGCTCTTCTAGGTCTCTTCTGGTTCCAAATTAATTTTACAGTTGTTTTTATTAAATCTGTGAGATATGCTGTTGGTATTTTCATTGGGATTGCATCAAATCTGTGGAACAGTTTTGGGAGTATGGCCATTTTCACTATATTTTTTCTGATATCCTTTTTGATATCGTTTTACAGAGTACTGTAGTTTTCAATGTAAAGGTCCTTTACTTCCTTTGTTAGATTGTTTCCTAGGTATTTCATTTTTTTGGATGCTATTGTGAAAGGTGTTGTTTCTCTGATTTCTCTCACTTTTTGCTATTTGTATATAGGTGTGTTATTGACTTTTGGGTGTTGACTTTGTATCCAGCTATTCTACTGAATTTGGCTAGTACAGTGAAAAGTATTTCGGTGGAGTTTTTGGGGTCTTCTATGTAGAGTATCATGTCATCTGCAAATAATGATAACTTCTTCCTTCCCTACCCTTACTGTTTTTACTTCTTACTCTTGTCTATTTACTCTGGCTAATGTTTCCAGAACTAAATTGAATAACGGTGTTGGAAAAAAAATAAAAAGAATAAGTGTTGACAGCGAAATCCTTGTTTGGTTCCTGACTTTAGACTGAAAGCTTTCAGTTTTTGTCCATTTAGTATGATGTTGGGTATTGGTTTGTCATAGATGGCTTTTATCAGATTGAGATAAAGACCATCTATTCCACTTTTCTGCAGGGTTTTTAAAATTATGAGTGGGTGTTGGACTTTGTCAAATGCTTTTTCTGCATCTATTGAGATGAGCGTATGGTTTTTGTTCTTGGCTCTGTTAATATGGTGTATTATATTTACTGATTTGCATCATCCCGGCACCCCTAGGATGACTGCTACTGGAGTCATGTTGGTCATGTTGTATAATCTTCTTGATGATTTGCTGCATTCTGTTTGCTCATATCTCTTGAGAACTTTTACATCTATATTCATTAGGGAAATTGGTGTGTAATTCTCTTTTTTGATCAGATTTTTCTCTGGTATAGGTATCGTGGTAATGCTTGCTTCCAGGAATGAGTTTGGGAGTATTGCTTCCCTTTTGAATTCATTAAAGATTTTGAAAAGTAGCAGCATTGGGTCTACTCTAAATTTCTTATAAAATGCAGCAATGACTCTGTCAGGACCTACATTTTTCTTTGTTGGTAGGTTTTTAGTTATAGCTTCAATATTATTGACTGATACTGGTTTATTACATTATTTTATTGTAATAAACAATTATAATATTACAATTTTATTACAATATTTATAGCTTCTTGATTCAGCTTTGGTAATTCATATATATCTAGGAATCTGTCCATTTCTTCTATATTCTCTGTCTTATTAGAATATAGATTCTTGGGGCCAGGGATATAGCTCAGTGGCACAGTACCTGCCTGGCAAGCACAAGGTCCTGAGTGTGATTCCTGGTACAAAAAAAAAAATAGAATATAGGTTCTCGAATTAGGTGTTGATGATCTTCTGGTGTTAAGCAGGATCTGTTTTTATTTCACCCTTTTCATTCCTAATTGCATGAATTTCAGTCTTTTTTTCCCTTTTTTGATATAATTGGCTAAGGGCTTGTCAATTTTATTTAATCTATTAAAGAACTAACTCTTACATTCACTGATTCTTTGTATTGCTCTCTCCTCCTCCTCCTCCTCCTTCTGGTACTGGGAATCTAACTCAGGACCTTGCACTTGCTAGCCAGATGCTGTGCCACTGAGCTATCTCCCCAGCCCTTTTTTTTTTTTTTTTTTTTTGCTAGCCAGATGCTGTGCCACTGAGCTATCTCCCCAGCCCTTTTTTTTTTTTTTTTTTGAGACAGCGTCTTGCTTTGTAGTCCAGGTTGCCCTTAAATTTATTATGTAGCCCAGCCTGGCCTCAAAGTCACGGTGATCCTCCTGCCTCAGCCTCCTGAGTACTGGGATTGAAGGCATGTGCCACCATGCCCAACTTGTATTGTTTTCTTAGTCTCAATTGCATTATTTTCTGCTCTGATCTTTATAATTTCCTTTGTTGTATGAGCTTTGGGCTTGACTTGTTTTCCTTTTCTAGAATTTTGAGGGTCAACGTTAGGTTGTTTATTTGAACTCACTGTTTTTCTGATATGGGAATTCACTGCTATGTATGTGCCTTATAGGACTGCTTTCATTGTGTCCCATAAGATCTGGTATGTTGTATTGGCATTATCATTTAATTGTAAAAACTCTGTAATTTCTTTTTAATTTCATCTGTGACCCATTGGTTGTTCAGGAGGGTGTTATTTAATTTCCATGTGTATATGAAGTGTTGGTGGTTTCTTTTATCATTTATTTCCAGTTTCATTGCACTATGGTCTGATATTATGCATGGGATAATTTCAGTTCTTTTGCATTTGCTTAATTATGTTTTATGAGCTAGTATATGGTCTATTTTGGAGAACATCCAGTGTGCAGCTGAAGAATGTATATTTTGATGTTGTGGGGTAGAACACCCTGTAGACATCTATTAAATCTAATTGTTCAGTGCTGGGGATTTACCTCAGCGGCACAGCGCCTGCCTGGCAAGCGCAAGGTTGTGAGTTTGATTCCTGGTACCAGAAAAAAAAAAAAAAAATCTAATTGTTCAAAAGTTTGGGTCAGTTCTGATATTTCTTTGTTGATTTTTTTCAGTTGATCTGTCTATTTGTGACACTGGAGTATTTAAGACCCCTGTTACAATTGTATTAGTGCTTATCTGATTTTTCATGTTCATTAATATTTGTTTTACATAGTTGAGTGTGCTGGCATTTGGTGCATATATGTTTGTGATTGTTATCTCTTTCTCTTGGATTGTTCTCATTACCAGGATGTAGTGACCTTCTTTGTGTCTCTTAATCAGTCTTGGCTTGAAATCCACTTTGCCTTCAAATAGAGTAGCTACTCCTGCTTTCTTCTGGGTTGCTGTCATATGGAGTACTGTTTTCCACCCTTTGACTTTCAGTCTATAAATTTGCTTGGGAATTAAATGTGTTTTTTGTATGTAGCAGATCATTGGATCTTGCTTCTTGATCCACTCTTACATTCTGGTTCTTTCTTTTTTTTTTTGGCACTTTTAAAAAATTGTATCAGTACAGTTTGGATATATGTAAGGATAACATTCATCATAGAAAATTTGTACCAGTCTGTTTCTTTTGATTGGTGAATTGATACCATTTACATTGATGGTCATGACTGATATGTATTGACTTATCCTTCTGATCTTATATTGGTTCCCTTCTCTTTTTTCTCTCTGTTTAATTACTTGCCTGGCCTGGTAGATTCATTCTGTCAGAGCTCATGGAATACTAACTCTCATTATCTCTTCTTAGAATGTCCTTCAGAGCATTTTGGAGTGCTGATTTCATGGTCATGAATTTCTTCAGCTGTTATTTGTCATGAACATCTTATTTCTCCATCAATTTTGAAAGATAATTGTCTTGGCTTCTTTTCTCTTGTTGCTGAGACAAAATACCCAACACTCAAATAAAGAGGGAAAGGTTTATTTAGCTCAGTTTGTGGCGGTTTCAGTCCATACTTGCTTGCCTCCAAGGCAGAATGGCCCATGGCAGAGGGCAACAGTTCATGGTCATGGGAGACAGCAAGTGTAGCAAGAGAAAAAAAGGAGGAATAGCAGAAGCAAGCCTCTTTCACTCCCTTATACTGTATCCTGCCTCCCACCCTAGGGTGGGTATAGCACGCACACCCAAAATCCCAGCATTGAACCATGAGTCAATCAAAAACTCTAGAAGCTCCCCATGACTGCATGAGACTGTGGGGACATCTAGACACCAGCCATAACAATAGTTTTGTGTGGTACATCAGTCTGTAGGGTTTGAAATAATTTCACTCCAACTTTTCTTTGACAGAAGAATTTGTGTTGAGAAGTTTGCTGTGATTCTGATGGGCTTTCCTTTATAGATGATTTATTTTTTTTCTCTGACAGCTGTTAATAGTCTGTTCTTGCATTGAATTTCTGGAATATTGACTATTTTATGCCTTAGTGTAGTTTTTGTGTGTGTGTGTGTGTGTGTGTGTGTGTGTGTTTTACCATGGCTAATTGTTGTTCTATGCACCCTCACTTATCTGTATGTCAAATTCTTTTTCCATACTTGGGAAGTTTTCTGCCACTACTTCTGTGAACAGGTGTTTTTTTTTTTTTTTATGTTGCTTGCAATATCTCCTGCTTTTTCATTGATTGTGATCTATCTTATGTTATTCTTCTTTGAATAGCAGCTGTTGGATTGAGTTTTCATGGTCTCTTACTATTTCTAAGAAATCTTTCTTTTCACGATCACTAATTGCAATCCTGTCTTTTATCTATATCTGATATTCTGGCCTCACACTGGCTCATTCTGCTGCATATACTTTCAATGGAATTTTTAATCTCTGGATATCTGTTTGAATCTGTTTGATGGATTCCATTTCTTTCCTATGTTGTGTATTCATGATTTCTATCATTTTCCTAAACTTCTCTATTTTTATCTGTATCTGCTCTAGAGTCACTACGCATGTCTTTCATTATTGTCACATCTGTATCAGTGTTTTACTAGAGAAACAGCTATAACACAAGATATACAAATGTATAAGAGTTTAAAAGATTGGCTTCCAATGGCCACTCACAGAGTCAGATGAAGAAGAGTGGGGTCTGTCTGCATAGTGGAGAAGGATTCAGTCCAAGGTCTGGAGCTCAGGGCAGTGTCCCATGCAAGTGCCTATCAGGAGGCCAATGGACCTGCAATGGAAGGCTGAAGAGTTTACAGCAGAAAGCTGAAGGACCTGCACTGGAAGCTGAAGAGTCTACACTGGAAGCCAGGAAATGATGTCCAAGGTAAAGGTGAAGACTGGAGCTCCTGCCAAGAAATAGAAGGTGATCTTCTCTTCCACATTTCTCTTATACCATCCAGGTGATAAGCTACCCTACAGTGGGTCTTCTACACCCTAGGGTATGGAATTGCTGAGTTGATTTACTTAAGTTTCTCTTAACTAAACTTCTTAAACTGACACAACCACTCAACCATCACACCATCTCTTAGTTATCTGAGAAATTATTTCTGATTCGATTTTTTCCAGAGCCTCATTCATCTGCTTTGTTACTTCTACTGTTACCACTTCTGAGAGTCCAGGTGGGTGGGTTTCTAATTGCTCTTCCTCTTTGTCCCCTGGGTTTGCCTTTGGTAAGCTGAAGTCTGGATTGCATCTTGCTTAAGCAACTTCTCATTTTCTGTTGTTTTTAGTTCACTTCCTGGGTTGATGCCTATAATTGCTTATGGCAGGTAACTTTATTGCTAGTATTTAGAACACTTAGATAATGACTGAGTTCAATTCCTGGTAATTAAAAAAAAAAAAAAAAAAGAAGTTGCTATCTATTTGGCCTATCCCCTGTTTCTTTGGCACTAGCCTATAATATTGTTTATGATCCTGAAGCAATTTTAGTCTTGGCATGCCAGGAAGAACAACTGAATAGAATAATTATGTCAACAATTATTAGAACAATTATGTAAGATAATCAGCAATAATAATAGTATCGAATACAGCTTTAAAAATGACAAACTGTGGTATTAATTTGCCACTTTTAATCACATAAACTAGATTTATCATTTTAATTTTTTTTGATACTGGGAATTGAACTCAGGACCTTGCACTTGCCAGGTAGGTGCTTGTGCCACTGAGCTATATCCCCAGCCCCAAGATTTATGGTTTTATAAAAAAAATCTAAAAGCAAAAAATTATGTTAGGTAAATATTGCCCTCACTATGGTGATTTTACCTTCAGGGGAGAAAATTTTAAAGGATTAAGGGGAAAAATAGAGAAAGAGAAGAAGAGTAAGAGATTAGGAGCAAGGGTGGAGGACAAAGGAAAATTATGTGTTGCCTGAAAAACACAAGGTCCTGAGTTCGATTCCTGGTACCAAAAAAAAAAAAAGAAAGAAAAGAAAAAGGAAAATTATGTGAACTTTGGGAAACTGGTGAAGAACAAAGGAAGGAAACAGAGAAGAAAGAAAGCAAGAAAAGAACAACAACACTAGACATAAACTGGGTGTACTGGTCACACCTTTAATCCCAGCACTTGGGAGGGTGAGCCAGGAGGATCACTGTGAGTTCGAGGACAGCCTGGGCTCCATAGTGGTTTTAAGGCCAGCCTGAACTGCATAATGAGACCCTGTCTCAAAAAAAAACTTAGACATGATGTTCATAGTCATATAAAAACATGAGCAAACAATCAGAAAAAAAGGAAGCAAAACAAAACAAAAAAACAGGAAAGAAAAAGAAAAGGAGAAAAAAATGTCCACTTTAGGGTATATCTCTGCTGTCATTGGTAGACATAGTGGGCAGATAGAGCCCAGGTCCACGCTGACAAATCCCAGCATGCCAGCTGTACATTTATGGTGGGGTACTGAATAATTCCAGGAAGCTTGCACCTTTAGTTCCACTGGTTCAGGCTGGTTTCTGCTGTGAGGCTGGAACTGGATTTGTTCAGGCTGAAATACTCCATGTGCCTCCTGCCAGTTTAAAACTCAGTTCCCTGACCTCCTGCCATCTTGAACTTGGTTCCACCTCACCCTGAAACTGGGAGCCACTAGATGGAGCCAGCCTGCAGCTGCTCTGGATTCTGAGTTCAGTTGGCCCCTTTCTGAGATGGCTGCTAGCCAGTTGCCCTCTCCAGGGGACATCTGGACCTGAATAACTCACCAGCCACTGCAATCCGCTGTGCCCACTGCTCCATTCTGTTGATGTGATTCTCTATGGAGGACTCTGGAGTCACCAGTAGTCACTGTGCATCTGAAGGTTTGAGCCACCCCTCCCACACAGTGAGTCAGGGCTCAGGAAGAAAGGGCTGCCCGCCACCTCCTTCTTCTTTGCTGAAATCCCTCTCTCACCTTCCCTGTGGGCTTTGATTCTTACTTCAGACGGTTTCTAGGTCCCAGGGACTCTTGCCTCCTTCCTTCCTCACATTACTATATTCTAGCATCAGGACACCAAATCTCAGAGAAACTGTTTTTCTGCTGTTTACCACTCCACCATCTTCATATTATACTATTTTTAAAATGTCTACCAAACTAGATGCAGTGGAGAACACCTGTAATTCCTGCACTCTGAGAGGCTGAGGCAGGAGGATCCCAAGTCCTAACCCAGCCTGCGCAACCTAGGGATTTAGCAAAACCCTGACTCAAAATTTAAAAAATAAAAATTTAAAAGGCAGGAGGGGCTGGAACTACAGCTCCTAGTGAAGTCCCTGGCTCCCATCCCTAGTAACACACAAAGAAGTAGTATCTACCAACATTTAAGGGAACTGGCATATCTCATTTCATCACAACTGTCTATGAATAGGTTTTGTTAATAAGCCTACTGTGGTCAGTGTAGAAATAGAGAAATTACACACCAGCCCAAGAGGAGATGAACCTGAGTGTGGTGGCTCACACCTGTAATCCCAGCTCTTGGAAGACTGAGGCAGGATTACCATGAGTTCTAGGCCAGCCTGGGCTACATAGTGAAACCTTGTCTCAAAAAAAAAAAACAAAAAAACAAAAATAACAAAAAAGAGGAGATGAAGGCCTACCTTTGTTTAATACAGCCAGTTCTTACACCTGAGGGTCTCCATCTGTGTGTTGCATCAAGTACTGGGCCTAAAGCCCGAGATTGTGGCCCACACCCCACCTCTACATGTTCTGTGCATATTGGTAGAGCCCCCGAAAACAAATCTCCCCGGATGTTCCGCATTTGACAAAAACGTAAGACGATCTTAGAGAACACAGTGTAAGTAACCCCAGTGTCAAAACTGAGCTCAGGCAAAGGGGATTAGCAAATTGAATCAGGTGGTAACTTTTAAGTGGGTGGCTCTTAATGTGTGTGTGAATAGTAACCTAAATAGTGGCTAGGGATTTAGCTCCGGGGTGAGGCAGAGCTCTTGCCTAGCAGATGCAAGGCCCTGGGTTCATCCCCACCACCACCACACACACACACACACACACACACACAAAACAAACTAAAACTAAAGAAAATAAAGAGCAAAAAGGAAAACAGAATAGGACTCCATACTTCAGGGATATGCAGCAGTGTACAGGCTGCTTGAGATCACAGGATAAACGGAATAAAAGATTTCCCCTAAAATATTATAAAATTTTTATAATGTCATGTTCTATAAAAACAAAGTACTGCCGGGTGTGGTGATGCAAGCCTATAATCCCAGCACTTGGGAGGCTGAGGCAGGAGGATCATTGCAAGTTGTAGCCTGGGCTACAAAATGAGCTCAAACCCAGCCTGAACTACATAGTGAGACCCTGTCTCAAAAAGACAAAAAAAAAAAAGTATATAT